TATGCCACCTTGGTCCGCCCCCATGTGCTGCTGGCCACGAAACGCCGCCCAATCACCCTATTCTGCATGCCACCCTGCCGTGCCCCGCCATCCCGCACGTGGCCCACGAGGGCGATCTCCGAGAGTCGTGACGCACGCTGCAAGACGAAGCGCAGGTGTGTCCTGATGTGGTGCGCGTCCCGGGCAGGCGCTGGTGGTTATGCGCATCATGCATGCCACGACACAAGGTCCAAATCGACGGCCAACGACTGACCATCTGACACAGTTCCATACCACGTTTTAATGGGTTTAGATTGCTAGAAAACAGGCTTGTCATTTACAACGTAAGCCCGGGTCGTATTTACGTTTTTGCGCGTACAAATAGTTTTTACGTTTTACGCATAAAAACGCGTAAAAATAGGTAAATACAACGTAAAACAGCCCCATGTACACAGGGACAGTACATACAGCCTTCGGGACTCTGGGGAATGGCATCCAGACGCACTGGACTGGGCAGAAGACGAATTTTGTTCCACTCCATCGTGGCCCTTGGCGAGTGGGAAGCGGACGCTGTGTTGCAGGCACTCAAGGAGGCGAAGTACTGGTCACTGTACGCAACTTCCATCGTGCAACCTGGGTGTGGCAACGAGCCGTGGAAACGCAAAAACAGCCGCAAAAATAGCTTCTTTTGCAAATTTACGTTTGTAAAAACGTAAACGCAAGAACGCAAACATAAACGTAAATAACAAGCCTGCCAAAAAATGTCGCGCGTGGAGTTGGTACTAGCGTTGATATTCATCTGGGCGGCATCGTGCAATAGCGATCGTGTTTTGATGCCATTTTCACCACTGAAAGTGCAGTCGCAAGTGCAGGCACAAAATTGGATTTCGTTCTGAAGTGCTCGAACCCAAGTGCATGGTGAAATTTACCCTGGGTTAATATCGCATCAATGTTGCACTGTCTCCGCAGTTGCATGCCTCTCGTCACAATACAGATGAAGGGACAGCATTTCTTCAGTACAAGACAAGTATTTATCGTCGAGGACGCACACAAGGATGCACACCATTCTTTGGCCTGGCTCATTGGGTGAACAGTACTCTGGGTGCTGTGAACTCAATGGCATCGTGTAACGGATGCAACAAGAGTGTACAGTCGCAATAAGATAATTTAATGAATCAGAGAATTTGTAAACCAAGCTGCTGCATATTCTATAACAGCCTTGTTGCTGAAAAGGACTTGACTTTGCACTAGTTCGATGGCAGCCGTGCTCTGTTTGCATCCCATGCGCACTGACTGAGTGTGACGTTTTGTTTGGAAATTGAGGTAACTGCTGCACATTTTTTAACCCCATGTGGGGCACGATTTTGCGGATTCAGGGGAGAACAGAAGAAGACTAAGAACAGGCAAGAAGAGGAAGAAGGAGAACAGGCAAAGAGGAAAGTTTTGGAGAGTCGATATGGGTGTGATCTACATGCCGCCAGCGGTTCGGCATTCCAATGGCACGCATGACGTCATTCTGCTCGTCCACGGGGAGAAGCTGCCCGCTGACGGCAAGATGCTGGCACGTCGCTCCCTGTTCTTCCGCAAGGCTCTTAAGGAACTGAAGGAGGGGAGGGGTGACAAGGGCAGGGTGGCAATCCAATTGGAGAAGTCCGTGTCGGTGGAGGACGCAAGGCTGATGCTGAACATGTTGGGCGGGAACAAGGGGGAGTCGCTGACGGTGAGGGAACATGACGTTAAGTGGCGTGGCGGTAAACGCGCATCGTTCCCCCAATGGCTGGAGCGCCAGGGGCGTCTGCGAATGTATCTGGAGCGAACGGGCTGCTCAAAAGCCGGCCTGGAGCCTTGTTTGGATGTGTAGCCAGGACATTCCTATGTGGACGTTGCGCTACAGCAATATTGCACGAGGTTTAGCATACTAAGCTTTCGATATGCATATATATCGATACGTGTAGATGCCTCCCGCAGAATGGGCAACGACATGTGATTCGGATAAGGGGCCACTGCAGGGCGCAACTAGAAGGTTGAAGCAAGTGCCAGCCGCCGCCCTGAACGAGCGGACAGCACTTTTCAATACCGGAAACATCAACCGAAACGGAACTACACGCGCGACAAACATAAGGTTGAAACTTTCCCGCTTCTGGCGACGGGGCGCCGGCCTCATAATCGCGATTGTGCTAAGCCATGCTCCATCTCACCAAGGTTGTGGACACTTGGCTCGTTTCATTTCAGGGCGTTGCTGAGTGACGCCCCGGAGCTCGTGTCTAATACACCGGACGTGCAGAACGAGCCATGTGCTTTCAGATGTACTCAGCTTGTTCCCCCCTCAACAGCCAAGACATGTCGGCTCACCGTGTTCAGCAATGCAGGCTTGGCACAAACACGGCTAAAACTACCCGACAGGGAGCGCGGCCGCCTGCGGTGTGGCGGCCATGGGTTCGATTGTTAGCTGGCGCAACGCCCTGGATTTCAATGAAAGAATCATGGAACGTACCGCCTTTCGCGGGCAAATCACGGACCTGACGGCCACCTCCTTTGTCCGATAGGCACTGGCATGTACTGACATGTACTGATATGTGCTTATATGTGTTGGTATGTACTGACATGCACATGTGTTGAATGGCTGCTCGCCCAGGCCGACAAGGCGAGGCGCATGCTGGCGCTTGGTGAGAAGTTCGGCATCCCCAGTTTCTTCAAGATGTCCAGCAGGACCATGGCGCAGTGGGCGAGTCACATGTACTTCATCAAGACCGTGGACCACGAGGGGCTGCCGCCCGGGGAGGCAGAGCTGCTGGACGCGGGGCGGTGGCTGGGCATCGCGGACCGCCTGGGCCTCAAGGCCCTGCGCGGCCACTGCCTGGGCGTCATCGTGAGGGACCTTGGGGCCCACGTGGCGCGGTGCGGGCGTGGGCCCGCGGGCCCCGAGCTGGGCGAGGCCCTGTCGTCTCTGCAGGGACACGGCGTGAGCAGCGGCAGCGTGTGCGAGATTGCCGCGGGACTGATGACGCATCAGTGACTCATCAGTGTTTCGATGACACACCAGGGACTCGACAGCGAGGGGCGAGGGGGAGGCTGCTTCCGGCGAGGACGGGGCGAAGGGTTCCTTCCGCGTCAGGCGCCTGGGTACTGTGCATTGCACAATTTGGGAAACCGCCTCATTTCGGTTTGCCATGCAGGAGATGTTGCAGATCAGGGCAGGGAGATGGGCATCAGCTCTCTGTCACACCCTCTTCGGTTGGCGCGCTTTGATTTGCTGGAGTGCTTCATCACGCGTGGCAGGATGGGTGTCATATGAATGAGCGTTGGCCATGTGCTGGGCGGCTCGGTTGTCGCGGGTTACTGCCCGCAGTGCATTAGCATACTGGGAGTTCAGCTCGCCCCGGTGTTGGGCGCGCCGCTTGATTGCTGATTGTGTGAGCGCGCAACACCGACGTGCGGCGCGAATTGCATGACAGCGGGGAAGGGTTGGCGCGTGGCAACCCGATTTGTTGATCATGCTCAGAACGTTCAACAGAGGAGCGCAGGTTGCTCATGTCCGTGGCATGGACGTGGGTGCTGACCGTGGCACGGGGATTGGGATCGCCAGAGACGCCAGGCAGCACATTTTTGTCGGGCCTGTGAGTGCCAGTAGAGTGGAGTAACTAATGCTTTGTGATGAGTGTCAGAGATCAGGAGAATGAAGTAGTTATGGTGGTAGTAGTTAAATGATGTCGGATGGTGTCTTGGCTGCCTCCAGCGTCGGCGCTGGAGGATCGGCAGATCGAGCGCAGCAACGCAATAATGGAGGCGACGGTTCGGACGAAATTTTGCCGAATTTTGCTGCGTAAATTGTGGCTCCCGCCTGTTTAATTTGCGGTTGGATGCTTTCCGTGTGTGGGCCCCCTGGTGGTATCGCGCTCCCAGGCGCAGCGATGGAACATCTAGAAGCACAGTTGGAACATACACAAACCTGACTCTCGTGCACCCTCGCTCGACTGACTCCATGTCCCGCCAACAGCCGCCACGCGAGCGGTGCATGCACGACCATCGCACCCACAGGATTGACACAAACACAACAGTGCCACAGCGCCACCTGTTGATTTCTTCTTTCCCATTGCCTATTGTTACAAATCGTAATCCACAAAGCAAATTGCGTTTGCACTCCTGAGGACAGTTCTTGCCACATCAAGTAAGGGAGCCGATCCTAGCAGCGCCAACTGCGCTCTGGGTAGTAAGCGCCCTAGAGCCTGCCATACCAGCAACCGCCCGGCAGCACGCCACCCGCTTTTCATCGTTCACCGCCCTGCTTGCCGGTCGCTATTTGTTGGCATGGCGCAACGAGGCCCACGGCGCCCACTTTTACCAATTTCCTCCAAGAGCACAGCCATCCTGTTCGCACCTACCCCACTAACGCTCTCCGGAGATGATTCAACGTTCCTGTGTGCTCACAATACAAGAAGGGCGATCGGTTTCGATGCATTGCCTGCGCTGGGAGTGCTCCAGTCAACTCCAAGCACAGGGGCCACAAGAGCCCCGGCCTGCCTGAACAGCCCGACGTGGGTGCTGCCCACAAGAAGGGGGGCCAATCGATGCCCCGCTTCCCCGGTCACCGGCGATGAACGACGTATCTACTTATCATCGCCCTTGGGCTTCTCCTTGGAAGGCGTTTTTTTTCCGCACGCAGCGTCGTACCTCGCCTTCATCTCTGGGTCCTGAATTTTTTTTCCAACAAAAATGGCATTTCTCAGCACCCAAACTGCCATGAGCATGGACGCTCAAATCCGACACCTAGAACATGACGCTTCAAAAGCTCGAGAGCCGCATTTCTTGCCCCGTGGCATTGGGAATCCGACTGGTGTTTCAGAGTGTTGACATGACTTGGGATAGAGCAATCGCCCAAAATGCAGAGTAATTGGTTCGCTGCGCCCTGCTGGCAAAACAGCACAATACGGAGTATAGCGACAACGAGAGCAGATTTCTCTGGTACGGCTCCAGAATGCGCTATGAGCTGCTACTTCGGCACGAACGCAAAACGGGCTCTTCGTTGCCATCAAGGGGCAAGGAAAGAGTGGCGATGTGGTGACACACGCAATCAAAACAGCCACCACGCCGCCTCGCCCTGTATCTCATTCTCACAAACACAAACAGCGACGTTCAAGGCGGCCAGCTCCTACCTTTATACACACGCTATCCAGCTGGTTTCCAAGTGATACCCAGCCTGGCTGCAGGTTGTGCGCGCGTGCGAAGATCTCCAGTTTTCGAGTTCCCGGGCTCAGCCGCTCCAGCAGGGAATACATTTCGTCAGGCTTGCGGGACGTCTCCCTCACCTCCGCAACAACCACGTCGCAATCCACAAATCGGTTGATGGCCGGGTCGCCTGGCCGTTGCAATGTTTCACAGGGTCAATGGCAACTACAAGATTGCAATATCGCCATTCATCTCTGTTGCACGACTTCACCCTGATGCTACAACCCGATTCTCACCTGGTACGCAATTGGACAAGGCTTGCACAGAATGGAGCACCAGGCAGTGTTCCAAAGTTCTCTACCATTAATGCAAGATTGTTCTGATGTGCAAGTGCAGGGTGCCCAGTGCACACCAGTGGCACTTTTACCAAACTCCAGAACTTGCACCACAGAAATTGTTGCAAGATCAAGTGAAACGCTGCAGGGGACAGCGCATCAGGTGGGTGAACGACAGCCCACCAATCCCCCACCCGCCTTCAGCAATGTTTTGCAACACAAGAGTGGCCTTCGAGGCCAATTCATGATTGGCACGAACATAACAGAAACAGAAGCACCGATGGCACACGCAACCTGCGCGTGCTGCCAATGCTACTGCCCCGGCTCATGCTGCCACTTCAGCATTGCAGCAATGCGCATAAAGCGACTTTCCTGCAGCAGTCGACCATAATGACGGAATTGGCTTTAGGGCATTCTGTAATACCCCACAAACACAGAGCAAGTAGGTCAACCCCTTTGAGCCATACGTGCATGATAAGGGGGATAACAGTGAAGGGTGGGTGGCAACAACAAACTCATGCATTCTATACATTCTTTGTGTCTGTTGTAGATCCTAACAACAGATATGCATTGCACATCCTAACAGTACATCTACAGTGCACATCCCAAGAATACGAAGGATTTGAACCCAACATCCTCATTTTGCTTTCATGCACACCAAATGTTGGAATGGATGGTGGCCAACTTTTCAACACATGACGTCCTTGGAATCTCGTCTTTGGTCAAATGCTTTGACTACTTTGTTGGAATAAGTCTGTCCGTGTACTATACCACAAGCTGCACTTTGGCCAACGAACACATCAGTCCGTTACAAGGCGATGCATCCTGTCATCCAGAAAACAGCACACCATCAATATGCACAGCCATTATATCCATGCAATATGCACATTGTCCACAGCCACATTGCTCTCACATACCCACACAATCACAACATATCCACAGCACTGCTTGCGTTATCACTGCTGAATGCTCATGCCATGCACACTCATCTCACATTGTATTCAGATTATGGACATAACACCCATAAGGTCATTATGGGGGCCATTGAGTGGATCGTGTGTTTTGCCCAAACATCCACAGTTCCAACAGCCAAATTGAAAACTCAAATGCAGCACACCAAAAGCAAACAAACAATAGAGCCTTGCCTTTGTATCCCAGCAGGCAGTGCTCCTTGGAGTGGTTCAGCCAGTGGCCTGTCCTGCCGGTTCGGATGAGGCGCTGCAGCTGGTTGGTTTTTACCCACACCAATTCATCCACGCGCTTGTAGCCCCATATCTCCAGGCACTCCCGCCCCAGCTCCATGGCACGGCCAGTGACCCACAGGAAGATGACACCATCTTCCTGGTCAGCATGCAGCAAAACATTAATCCATCATTAGTTGTTTTAAATGAAAATCTCAACGAAAGCCCTGGGAAATTTTAAAGAGGAAGTAAAGCACCAACAAGTGGAAAACAAGACAATCGAAGCCGATCGATGAAGCAGCAGCAAAATAGGATCTTTTGAAGCCAAGAATCAAGGACAAGCCATATTTTGTCCAATGTGAGAAATAAAGCACAGTGCCCTATTGCATTTCACAGACGTTCGTGTGTGTTGGCAGATTCTGCAGAACTCGACACATTATCAATGTGTTGGGCGCCCAACCAATAACAGTCAACACTTTTCACACCTTGAATTCCAGATCCTTCAGGAAGGAAACATAAATCTGATTGCTGCTGTGCTTCAGTTCACTGGCTTTGGTGAAGGCACGCTTTTAGCCAACAGCACTCATGTGAGAAGTCCGTTATCTCCCCTCATCCAGAAAGGTCGCTAGAGCTCCCCTTTCCTGCCTTCAGGGTGAATTTACGCTGCATGGCACTAACAATCATGAATAATCTGGACCAACCTGCAGGCAGCCGATGTTGAGCCGCCGCATCTCATCATCCTGCATGGTACCATATGGCAGGTCCTGATGGATCTCCCAGGGGGGGTCGGCCATGATGACACCAAACTTGCCAAGAACCGTCATGTCGAACGTCCTCACATCGCAATTCACCCACTGGGGCTCTGGAAGGGCCTGCAGGTACTTCGGAATGGTGGGGGGTGGCTTTGAGAGCGCCTGGACAGACACGGACAAGCACTTCGGCTTGAAAGTTGTGATTAAAATTTCCAGTATTGCCACTGTAACGTACTCCAAAAGTACATATAGCCAGGACAGAGCAACTTTGTGCCCTTGCACTTCCATGGTGATGACAGGCATGACTCCATTCACAGCACTTGCCTGAGCCTAACTATCCACTTCAAGTGACTTGTGCACTTTCTGTGTTCCGAAGCCCTGGGGATCTGCTGCTTTGCTGAAAAGTCTTATAAGGCTCCTGTTGGCAGCTACAACAAACGGCGCTCTCTGATGATCTGAACTCTGCAGTGACATGTGACATGACCAGTGTGTGTGAGTGTGTGTGTGTGTGTTCTGTTGCTTATGTTTGTCAAACACATAACAAAACAAGGTCCTTGCACCTGGGGAGGTGATAATGGGCACAGCAGCATCCAATCAATGTTTGTTCGGGCGCATTCAATCATCGTTCCAAACCCTGCCCATTTCACTTGGCATGACCAGTGCTTCGTTTTCAGGTTGCATGCACTGGACACATTTGTCCACTCTTTGTTGTTTGTCCTTCACTTATGCATTCATTATTCAATACTCCATAGCCAGAGCATCCTGAACCAGTGAAAAGTCTGAAGATGCAGGAACACTCATTGACTGCAGTTGCAAAAGGTGTGACGAAACGCTGCCTTGATGGACATATAGGACATAAGCAGTGTAGGGATAGATGGGACAATCTGTGTTGCACTGAACTCAACTGATAATCCACATACAGCAATACAAGCTCTTAAGTCGCATCCCATCATTTGACTTGTCAATCATCAGACTGAACGATTTAGGTAGCCATTCGTTCCCTGAACTGCTATCCCCACAACACCTGCAGTCCAACAATCAGCACTGTTGACACAAAGGCAAACAACTGTATCTGACAATACGATCCACCCAAGTGTAAGTTATCAAGATGCTGTTCACCACGGTCGATTTCATGTTGAAGTACATGAATACAACAAGAAATGGATAAACAAAAAGTAGCCTGGCACCTGCAGCTTGGAAAGCGAATATTCCCAATCAAGGCTGATTTCAGCACTTCCTTGAGAATGGCCTGCTTAGGGGTTGTCTTATCCCAACATGCCCACAATAGGCAGCACTGTCATCACAAGGTAAACCATGATCCAAACTTGATTAGCAGCAAGACCATTGTGCCAATCTGGTGATCGGATGCATATGACAGACGAAAGGACCAAATGACTGATTGACACGTTGAAGGAGGGGGGACTGAAGAGAGGGCGGTACCTGCATGTGCTCCGGCGTAAGGGCATCGGGCTCTGGGTCCAGCTCATAGTGCATGTACTTGCAGGTGCTGATATTGCGGCAGGTGTCCAGATAGGAGCAGTTTCCCAGACTGGCATCTGTCCATGGGAAGATCAGGCGGCGGAAATGCAGACGCGGGCAAGCAACCATGGAGCGGTTCTTCCTGCACAGACGTGGACATAAGCAAGGGCCTTGGCACATGCAGATGTTAGGCTGAAATTCAGCTGAGCAGTTGCCACATCGCCCAACAGGCATGAGGGGAACGTTTTGTAACACTGTTCCTAATACAATCAGTGGGGATTTTGCCAGCAACTAAGGAGGTTCAAATCGCCCCGGCAGGTTCCCCAGCTTGATGCCACATTCGTTTCGTCTGCATTCAACACTACTTCATATCACACACCTCCTGCACTCGTCTTTCGTCAAGTTGGGACAGAATTCCCGCACTGCCGCACCACCTGTTTGAAACTTCTCCACGGTCGCACTCTCCTTGGCGGTGCGCTTCTGAATCAATTCGATCAACTCCTCGCCTCTGTGGCAACCAACAGAATTCAGTGGCTGCAAGTGTGGGAAAGAATATGAACAGCCTTCGGTTCATGCACAAAGGATTATGATGGACTACTCGAGGAATCCTCCATGAAAGACACAAAGGACATCAAGGCAACAAATGATGGTAACAGAACAGAGCATCTCTGAATGATTACCTCCACAATGTGGGGAATTTGAGTTATCACATCAAAGCTTACAAAGAAATTGCCACATTAGCAGTGAACATGCCAGTTGCCAGCATTTTACCCTCAGTGAGCCAGAATGAAGTATTCAACACAGTAAGAATGTATTTGCCACGAGCCTTCACCAGCACGTGGTGCAAACCAAACATGGCAGGCATTGCAAACATGCTGCACTGCCACAGAGTCTCTTCATCCACTGATCAGCAGTCAGCCGACTTTCAAGACTGCTACAGCATTTCACACATAGTGCCCCAAAGCAGGTTGCAGGCAGCAGCAGGCAACCCACTCATGCAATCCTCACTTTCTCACTTTTCTCGCTTCTGCCTGTCTTTCACAGATTTGTGCGACAGCAGGGCCTCCAGGTCAGGGCCGGGCTTGCTCCCATCCCCAGGCTCCATCCTGTCACCACCCAGGAATGGGGGCAGTGGTGGGAACCGAGGTGGGGGCTGCCCTCGCCCCCCCTCGCCCAGAGGACCTGGGCCCACAGGACCCCTTGGCGGAAAGTGGCCCCTGTGGACGTCTGGCCCAGAGAACAGGTCCCTTGGAGGAGGGGACGGCTGGGGGGCAGGTGGGGAGGGCGACTGGCTATGTGGCCGCTTCTCCGTCAGGCGAACAAGGCTGTGTGCCAGCGAAAAGGAATAATTAGAAAACACAGTCTTTGTGGGATGTTTTTTTGCGACAACTGTGTTGGCTGCACTGACTGCCCCTCTGCTCGTAACTGCTTCGTTGTTTGGGCATTAGCATCTGTGTCCCCAACTTTCCAGTCATGCATCTGGTAAAGTGAAGATGGAAGCACCAGTATGGGCAAGGTGTCTTACAAATACGCTGTCTGGCGCCTCAATTCGGCAGGACAGCCAAACAGGAAGTCAGGAGTGCACTAATCTGGACAAAAACACTATTATTGAAAATGGGTCAACTTATATGCCTAAATATATGCTGAAACTCTTCACTTGCTGGCAGCATACACTGACAGACTCAAGTCACATGCACCAATGGCCTGACAGCCACTGGAAGCACAGGTTGCAGCAGAAAATTCTCATGCCTGTGTCACCTTGCTGAAACTTCCAATGCTTCCAAGGACTTCCAGATTGAATTGGGTGAAAGACATGAAGTCATTTCGCACAGCTCAGCCAAAAGGCTGTGGCACAACTGCCACAGAGGGTTCAGTGAAATGACACAATATATCTTCACTTCACCATAAGAAATATGAAATCACCAAAATTCAGAGCGTGCCATACTGCCACACAGTGCATATCACCTCGTAGCCAAGCACATTCTAAAGAAGAAGCTTCCATAACAGACTTCTCTCAGGGCTGCATGCACTGGTAAGCAGCCCTAATGCCCAAGCAGAGCGAGTCCTCACCTGGCCAAGCGTGCCTTGTCCAAGCTGAGGATCATCATTCTTGGCATATTGCTCACATCGAAGCGCTCGGCTTCCATGTAAGGTGGCTGAGCTGCAGCCAATTCCTGTATGACCTGGTCGATGGAAGTCAACTTGCAGGAAGCCAGGGCTGCCTCATATGCTGTACCCTGGGGCCCACGTGAGAGCTGATGCATAGAGGCACACAACCTTCAACACTTAATGTTTCAACCATTCAGTAAACTATTCTATGCAAATTATGAAACATAATGATACCACATTCTGCAATAATTAGCATTGTATAACACATTCTGCAATGTTTGCAATTGTTGCCGCATGGCTAGACACTTTGTATTTTATGATAGTTCCATGCCCGCCCTCACATTTACAAGGGGATGGCGGGCACTCCTTCCACGCTGCAAGGGCTGACCCAATGGTGGTCAGAACTCACCATCGTCACTGAAACCTGCCCAAACGATACCTGTGGATCCTGCCTGATCGTCACGACCGCCTGATCGTGTCAGGGCGAGAAACAAATCAACAAGTGATTATGTGATATATGGCTTTCTATGGTGGAAAATGGATATAGTGAATACAGTGTCAAATTTCAGTGAAATATGCATGGAGACAATGCACACACGAATGGAACATGTTTACAGTGAATGCTATTTGACTAGGCCACACATCCTGCAATGCATCTGGTTGCAGCTTGGCTTCCCGTGCCTGGGAGCGACCATGTATGAAGATTCCCAGTTTTCGTGTAAGTCAACAAAGAATCGGATCACATCATCCAGAGGTGTTCTGAGCAGGACCGTGTCAAGGGTGTCGAAGGCGGGGACCGGGGTTGGCAAGAGCAAATCGCATTGCCTGCAGGGTGCAAGGGCGCTGCTTTGTCTTTTGAAGGCAGCTTGAGCCATAATTCAATTACCAGGAATCCAAGATCATGCATGCAGTCGCTGCTTCGTCTTTTGAAGGCAGCTTGAACAGTAAATAAATTACCAGGAATCCCAGACCATGCATGCGCTCGTTCCTCAAGAGGTAGAAATTAGGGACTGCAAATGCAATCAATGGACTGAATGCCTTGCAAATTCAATTTGCAACACGACTTTAATTTTTGGCAACTTCAGTGAGAACAACGGCATCAGGCAGCCCTTCCTGAACGTGATGGTGTTTGTCACCTGAAGTGGATGATTCTGGATTGTCACCATGGATTGCAAAGCACTCAGCAGCGGCATGGACAGTTCGTTGTATTTCTCCCAGGGGAAGTTTTTAATAACACGATGAGGTACAGTTTCCTTCGCACAGTGCCCGATCCTGGGATCCTTTCCGTTGTGCGCCAGGCGGGCAAGGGCAACCCGCAGCTCGCGTCCCCATCAACTAATGCAGATGGGGATACATTACCATGGCACAGGGACACAAAACTCTCCAGGGCTGATTCTCAAAGCTGCTGATTACCAGCAAGTAACCCAACGCAAGCGCAACCCTCAACGGACGCGCTCAACGGACCGCTCACCGAACAAGCAACCGCCCGGGTAAATTCCCAAATCCAACTTCCGGATTGAAGCCAATCAAGAATCCCCGTTCCGATGCACCTGGTGCTTTGCACATTTCAGCAATCGCGAATCTTCGTTCCACTGCGCCTGTCTGCCGCCCCCCTCCTGCCCACCTTCCTGTGCAGGCCCTGCGAGTCGATCGGCGTCTTGGTCCCCGGATCCAGCAGGCATGCTGCGACGATCTTCCTGATCGCCGCCTGGGCGCCCTCCCGCCCGTCCCCGCTCTCCGGGGCCCCCTCCCGCCTGGTGCCCTCCCTGTCATCCTTCTCCTCCTCCCGGCCCGCATCCCGCGCATCCCGCCTGGGGAAAAGCTCCCGTCGCCGCGCCTGGCGACGCGCGAAGCGCCTCTTGAGCCGCGCGATCTGCTGCGCGGCCGCCTCCACCTCGCTCGCGTAGCGCGGCTCCATGCTCATCATCTCGGTGGGGCTGGGAGCCGACTGGGTCGGCCGGGCGCCAAGGACGCCTCGACCCACGCGGCCACCGCACTTTCCCAGCGTTTTTAAAACGTGTTTCTTTTTGCTCAACATTCAATAAATGTTATGTTGATTGTCGGAAGAAATGAATAAAAACGTTTCATTTTGTCTTTCTGTGGGCGTGTTGCGACTCTCTCCTGGACAGAGTCCTGTCCCAAGAAAAGCAGTGCCTATGGTTTGTTCAATGATACCCACGGCACCGCACAATCGAAATTCTGTTGGATGGCCATTACGTGTGACTGCCTTTTACGGCTGGTGAGTCACGGCCACGTATATTTACTCTAGACAGTATGTCCAATCCAGATCCCCAAACAAAGGGATCCCAATGGCACACAACAACCTACTACTATTCCAGCTGCAAATGCACAGGCCAGCTGAAAATTGATTGGGCTGGTGACTGGACCAGCAACCGCACCCGTCACATGCTGTGATATGACGGGTACAGCGTTTCTTTCCTGCCTGACTTGATTACGCCTTATGCGCTCAGAATTCCACAGAAAACTGAGCTGTCCTTTGATGCGGGTAAGCTCCCTTGCTATACCCGCCAGCTGCAACCCTTCGCCTCGCATAAAGGATCGCAGATCACACCAACACTGATTACACACCTTTAGAAGTGATTTGACAAGACGTGCAGTGAGAATGTGACTGCAAGCAAATAGGTCTACACTGATCAAAGTTAAGAACAGGCCACCCACAACCTTCCAGAATTTTGACAACTGGTCAGTGTTGATGAAAATGCCCAGCCAATCCTTCGGGCTGATACCTTGACTACGTACAGTGCCCAAGGATACTAGCACATCATCAGCATACACTTTCACGTCCAGTTTTTTTTCAATTTAGGAAAAAGATCTTATGGTAATTTGTGCATTTACTTTTCAATCACTTTCTCTGACAGTTCACTCCAACTCTTTCGCAGCTGGCGAATTTGACTTCTGGTCAGGGATTGCTTCTGAGCGTCTTGTGTGTTTCTCTGTAGATTGTCCTTCACAGGAGCTGGGGGACACACTATACTACTGGGCTTAGATGCAGGTGTCAGTTCCTTAGGGGGGCAGCTGGATTTGGCCGCTTTCTTTTCGATATGACTCATGCCTCTTGGTCTCCCATTGGAAGGGAACTAAACAACAGTGGATGTGGTTTGTATGTTTCTAATCCTGTAATGGATTCGCACTACTTTCAGCCTCTATTTCCCTTCAGTACTGGACCTTACTGGGGCAGTACTTTATCAATTTCGGATTGACCTTTACTAATCGCGCAATTGACTCAACTTTATCTTACCTTGATTTCTTACCTCCCTTTTTTGTCGTTTCCAGTCACGCTCAGGCCAGTTCTCACCTCAAAGGATCAAAACATCCAATAGCCTTTATCGAAAGGCTTCCAGGATCGCGGTATATATTATGTATATTTATGAATTCAATACTTTAGTCTTCACTCCTGTACTTTAGTGGGAGCCCCGAAGGCTTCCCACAAAGTACAGGGCCGGATCTGGGACCCCGCAGGCTTCCCCAGTAGATCCGGCCAAGAGACTTTACTGGATTGATAGACGGTTTGGGGCCCCGCAGGTTTTCCCAATAGACCGGTCTATAATCAGTAAAATGACTCTTTAGATGAGACAAAGATCGAATAAATGTACTCCGAAATTAATTACACCGTGACCCTCCACGGGCCACAACCTGTACTACAAGGAGCAGTTCAAGTTTTAGGTCACCAAATCCCTCCGCCTATTGGCTTCGGGGCTGGCCACTTCGGAGTCGGAGCCGCTTGTCCAAATGGGGTTCTGCCCCGCTATTTATAGCCCGCAGCGGCTGTCCCCACGCCAGGAATATTCCCTGAAAGATTCCGATCAGAGCCAGCTAACTTCCCGGATCATCCACTCTCCGTCTTATCAGCTTCCCGCTCAAGTTATTGATCCACAACCTGTCCCTATCCCGTTCATATGCTGATCCCTAAAATTCCCAGGTTCAATTCCATCTCAGTCAAAGTCACTATCAAATATCTTTATGATCCATTCTACTTACTCTCCGTCACCTCAGTGATCCTCAAGATTCACAGACTGATCATAAACTTACATTGATCAGCAATGAAATGCACCTGAGCCCATGAGATGTCCATTCAGCTCAGAAACTTCTGTGGACAGCACTTGGTCCCATTGTTCAGCACCGCACGCAGCCCCTCGCCATCCACGACCGCCTCAGCACCCTCCTGACTCGGTCCCACCACCTGCTGCTCGATCGCGCATGCCCCAAGCCTTCCGCCGCCTGCGACCACATCATTCCGTCCTCGCCCGCCTCCCCATGCCTCCTCAGCGGGCGCCAGCGCCTCGATCACGTCCACCATCGCTGAGCAGGCCTTCAAATCCATCACCTCGCGTGGCCTTCCGCCATGCCACGGACGCCAACATCCCTTGGGGCCATCGCAGGTCCACCTGGGCATGCAAAGTCCATGCATGGCGCGACGAATCGCAGCCATGCGAGCAGCACCGCCATGCCAATTCGACTTCGCCATCGTCATCGTCCTAGCGTCTTGGCAGCCGCGCTATCGCAGCCACGTTCAAGTCCATCGCTGCATGTCACCACCATCGTGCGTGCACCCCTGAGGCGCTCCACAGCTCGGAGTCCAAGGTTGCCGTACGACATCCAAGGCAGCTATGACGGATGACACACTGCCGCAGCTGTGGGCGCGCAGGTACGAGACGGTATCCATGCATTCGCTCGTATTAGGTTGACATGAGTGGCGTGTGCTCCACTCAAGGGGGTAACGTGAAGGGTGGGGCGGGAATAGTCACACATGACAGCCCGTCAGGCTGTCATGTGAGGGACCCAACATTAAGTTCAGGCCAGGCCTGGCCCATGACGGGCATGGGCAACCTAAGGCCACTTGCCACAGCGCTGAAGTCATATCATAAGACAGCATCAGGTCTATTCTGGGGGTGCCCATGGGTCAGCAAATTTGCACCCAATCCCAGCAATGCGTCACCGTCGAGGCGAACTATTCCAGGTAATTGAAATCTCGCTTTAACAACTTATACATCACATTCCGTCCATGCCTTTCCCTCTGCTGTCATACGCTCTTGCTTTTGAATCGGCACCTCTATTGCTTGTCTACTCGCTGTTTCGACTCATTACATTGAGTTGGCTCTTTGGCTATCATAGGTCACAGCGGATTCTAATGAATCGCCCAGGATCAACATGTTCACCCTTCAGGATAGGCGATCAGTGATCGAATTCAATCGCCCTCCCAGGACGGCAAGGTGCGCACCCTGGCCAGTCAATGACGCCGATACATGTCATTTTCTGGGAGTAATCGCCTGCATTCTTGCTCAGAATCAACTCAGTTCCTGGTCGTTTTGGTGCCTAATACTCGTCTTTTTGTTTTTCTCTTAATCATAGCCATCCAGCATTTATACTGCCTCACAATCACCCTGTTGAGGCCTTCATTTGAGCCGTGATGCCAACATTCCGCCAGAAGCAGCCATGCTTTGTGCAACATCAACGCCCTTACTTTTGTTGACATTGTTTCCAGCACCCAGCCAACTAAAGTGCGTCTTTTACAGCCTTATCTGACTGACCATCTTTCCATTCTTATCAGCGTTCAACTTTAACTCTCTTTTTTCTTTCCCTGTGGTTATGCTGACTGATTGCACGAGATATATCACGTTTATATCAATCGTCTGGCTGATACCTTTCTTTTTTATGTTCACCTATCATGCTTTCTTATCCGAGCACAGTGGGTGCTTTGCGATTAGCCTTCATGATTGCATAATGTTGTAGCATACCAAGAGTACAGCCTGTCACTAAACATATCCATCATACGGTTACTTCTTATCACAATCCCCACAGCCTCCAATCACACACGCCATTCATGCACTACCAACCTTACAATCTCTGGCATTTCTTTTAAAGTTCAATGTCGTCCCCTTTCTGCTCATGGCAAGCTGTCATCTCCCATGCTTTCACTGCCTGCCTTAGACCTATCCAACCCATTCTCTTACAACTCCAGTAACTCATAAACTATGAAAGTTCCTGCCAGAAAAACCACTTCACTTTATGTGCATTTCCTTCACTCCCGAATTCCCATATCTGCCGCTCGACCGAATCTTCACGCTCATACTTGTGACGGCTTCACCTCACAGTTCTTAATCCTTAAGGTCACAGCATATATGTTAGTGTCCTTTTCATATTCGTGCACCGTTTGATCAGCATTCAGAAATCATTATTCTCTAATGCTGATCATTATATTTAACAATTCGTTATCGTTTCATTCAACGACGTCGCACTTATGCTCATCCTAGGACCACTGGCGACAAGATTTAGTCGCTCTGTCTTTTCCGTGAAGACCCCTTCTTGTTTCGACATCCTAGACCCACGTTGGCCTTGTCAGCGGAAAAGGGAGGAAACTTCAAGGAAAAGACAGAGGGGCTAATATATTGTCGACCACTAGGCATAGTATATTTTCGACTGCTGGGCAAAAATAGACTCCATCGTCGGGTGCACAGCAAGTCTCCAGGAGGGGGCGCGGATAAAAATCGCAAATTCCCACCCAGCACGTCGAAGAGGGGCCTCTTGAATGAACTTGTAACTTCAAAACGGGCCGCAAAAGGGCCAACGCGTGGCCCACACAGCCCAAAAAAGCCCCCAATGGGTGTGACCGCGTCAACAGCGCGGCCGCCGGAGCAATTCCCATGCACTCGCTCCCGCGACTGGGGGCGCTGGTGCTCCGCGCCTCCAGCTTGGCGCGACATGGGCGGCCGCCCCCGCCGGCGCAGTTGCTGCGAGGCCTGTGCGGCGCCGTTGCCGGCCCCCCGGAGGCCATGGACGTGTACCTGCCCCCGGAGGCGGTGCCCTTGACGCCCGAGATGGAGGGCTACCGGGCTCGGGTGATGGACTGCACCGCCCGGCCGGAGGAGCTGGACGAGCTGTACACGCTGCACGTGGGCCCGGCGATTGTGGGCCACATCAGGCCGGAGTGCGTGGGCGATCTTGCGCCATTGTTTGGCGCGATGCTGTTCCTGTTTTTGGTTCGGGTTTCTTGGTTTTGTTGCTTTGTGAGAGTTTGGGCGGGCCGTGATCGAATTAGGGCTGGGCGAAGGCCTACTGCACCCCCACCGTATTGTGCTAAATCTTTCCGGGGACGTTGGCGGCGCCGCCTGCCACTAGTCCTCGATCCACCATTGGCATTTTGGTCCCCGGCGCGCGCCAACCCCCGGCGGCGGCGCCGTTGCCTGCTGCGCACAGGTTCGCGCGCAGGCTGGAGGAGTTCTCTGACGTGTTCGACGTGCGGTCGAAGGACGCCAGCGTCGTGATGAGCCGGGAGCTCAGGACGCCGGAGGAGAGAACGAAGGCGATGGCAGGTGGGCTGGGGTGGTGCACTTTATCGCTCCATTCCCGCGATGGGACGCCACTTGGATCTGGATCAAGTCCCATTCCATCGTCTGATCATGTTTTTGTGTGCACTTCTTTTTTGGGCCCTCGCGGTCTGGTGGTGTGAGCCCACGACAACGCTGTTGGTTGCATTCTCCCTTGCGTGGCTAGATCGTGGGCCACGCCCCCAGTGCTGGCGCCCATGTGCCTGAGTCTCCTTGCTCAGCTTGAAACGGTTGCTTCGTGGCTAGCATCATTGGCGCATGTGGTTCGGGCTGGTTGTGCCCCCAACGGCCGTTGTCCTGGGTTATGGGACGACACCCTTGCAGGTCCATTTTCGAAGTGACGAAATTTGGAGCTTCAATGCTGCAATGCTTGTTTTTGAGAGTCTGGCGTGTTTTTGCTATAAGTTAGCTATGCACCCATAGCTGACATGATTTCGAGACGTCAGCAGACCCTTCAACATGAATCTGGCTCTGCTGCTTCGCCACCAACAATACTCTGCCCCCTCCCCCCTTGCATCATGTTGTGTGGCCGATCGCTGAGCAGTGATGAAAAAACGTGTCACTCTCTTCCAGACCTTTGGAATGATCGAAGGACATAACCGCAACAATCTGAGCTCAGCGAGTTCCCAGACTCAGCTTGTGTCGCCACAGCTGCAACCTGCCATGCTATGCTCATGGGTACTGGTTGATGCAGTGCTGGGGGACAGAAACAATGTCCAGCTATCATACTCTCTGCGATTGTCGAAAGAAAGCTGTTTAAGGGTCTTTGCCCATGTTTTGTTGTGAATTTTGATGGGATAACGTGTTGCGCTCCTCCATACAGACATTCACTGTAATGATCGCTGACATAACAGCAACTATCTGAGATCAAGATATGCCAAACACACCATTAGCCAGGCTGGCGACAAACACGTTGTTATCACTGCCCAATGCAACAACATATCATTCCCAGCTGCATTGCAGGCTGTCGTTTTGGCCTGTTTTCCAACAGCCCATCCCCAGCATGGTGGTTTGGATGGAGGCAGGTTTGCCTGCACATTAGGCCCTGGCGTATATCCTGTTGGCAGGTGTGCTGCGGGAGCTGAGGTCCCAGGGCGTAATAACTGGCTGGAGGGACGAGCTGTATCCGGTGGTGGAGGCTTTCCATCAGACGCCTCTGATGCTTGTACGGTCAGCTCACCAAGGTTGCCAGCGCCATTCATCACACCCACGCAGGCCTCATGCACTGCTCGCAAATGCTGTCATGGATGGCAATGTTCATCTGCGTAACGTTGGACCTCGTAGCACATGCCACATGTTCAGATTCATTGTGTTGACGTGCTCAATGCAGCTGCACAGGACCTTGGACAGGTCGTTGTGCCTGTGCTTCCTTGGTTTGCTGCCTTCCCCATTCTTTTGGAGTGACTGTTGGCTGTGCTGGGACAGGTGGAGAGGGCAGCAGTTCCCTATTTGGGAGTAAGAGCATACGGGGTGCACATAAATGGGTACACTGTCAGTGAGGAAGGGGAGGTGAAGATGTGGGTGGCGAGGAGGAGCAAGACCAAACAAACCTGGCCATCAAAGCTCGACCACATTGTTGCTGGGGGTCAGGTATGAAATCAAGGTACATTTTATGTTGATGTCGTCGTTGGTGCCATTGCCTCAAGAGTTGCAGGTGTTTGTTCCCATGTTCAAGGAATTGCTGATGCAAATAATGGAGTACCATCCTGACTGAATGGCACTCCACACCCACGTCGGTGACTTGGTGGTAGCTTGCCAGACGGATTAGCTTAAGTTGACCTCAGACATGGACATTTTTGCTTGCATGCTGGATTCAAGCTGTTGGCTTTGTTCACTGCGTGTGGCCTTCCATCGACACTCCATGTGTTGTGCACCCTCGTCAGCCCGTTGGGATCAGCTGTGCAGACAACGTGATCAAAGAATGCCAGGAAGAGGCCAGCATTCCTGAACCACTGGCACGGAAGGCCAAGCCTTGTGGGGCCGTGAGCTATGTCTGCATGCAACTGGCTGGGTTGAAGCGAGATGTTCTCTTTGTGTACGACTTGGAGCTCCCGGCAGACTTCAAACCAAAGCCAGAAGATGGGGAGGTAGGGAACCTGGTTGACACCTTCAGTCGCTCTGGCTCGTCCTTACAGCTTGCAGCAGCGCATGGCAGTTTGATGCCATCACCCTCTAGTGCCCAAAGGCAAGCCCTGTCTTACCGAATCTGCAAATAACAATGAGAGACTATATGCGCACCGCACCCTGCCTGGGGCACTGCTGGCCATGCAGGTCCATAGGCACGGCATTTGTTTGTTGCGTGTGTGTTTGTTATGCAATGAACCAAAGAGGCGAGTCTGCCTGTCACGCATTACATCGCTCGTGATTTTGGACCTCGTTTGGGTAAGCTTTGATGCAGTGCCTGCCATGTGTGGCATCGCTTCTGATTGTGCCCTCGGCTCACTTTCAGGAATGTTTCAATATCCCAAGTGCATTGTGTGGGACGGGTACCAAATGGACCACTGCTATTGCATGTTTCTGCATTGTGGCAGGCACTGGCTGACTGTCTGCTTACAGGACCTTCCCCCCCTTGATCACAATATGGCGATCATGAGCATATCTCTGTGCAAATACAACTGTACTATTGATGGGTTGGGCTTACCTGCTTTCAGCCAATAAATAGGATTGGCCAGTTGCTCCAGTTGCAGTGATGTGGATGTCCTTCGTTTGCTTTGTAGGTTGAGGAATTTATGCTTTGGCCAATCCCAAAGGTCGCTGAAGTTATTCAGACCACCACAGAGTTTAAACCCAACTGTGCGCTTGTGGTCATAGACTTCCTCATACGGCATGGCTACATCAAACCTGACGAGCCAGGATACTTGGACTTGTTCACCGGCCTGAGGATCGGCCACTGTGCATGATGGGCCCTGCTATGTGCCCTTGAAATATTTTGGAGCTATGGGGATATAGTTGCTGCAGAGATTGTCGCATCACAAGCGTGCAAATGCAATGCAGACCGGTTGGGACTTGTATCACCAATTTTACATGCCATCCACCAAGAATCTATCTAGAAGTGCTGCATGCCAACCCAAAGAGGCTGACATCAGGTGCCTGCTCCGCCTGAGGATAACACATCTCTTGGCCAAAGCCCAGAGAGCGCCCATCAGGACCAGGACTCAACGACGTACCGCCCGCTGGCCTCCATCGCTTTCACGAACCTCTTGGCAGACTCTGTCGACCTGCCAGTGTGCTCCGCCACCACAGCCTCGATCGCGCTCATCACGTCCGCTGGCATCTTGCGCGCTGACCCAGACACGTACACCACCGCCCCCGCCTCCCCGATCAGGCGCCAGATCAGCGCCCCCCGCTCCCGTATCCTGTGGGTCACATAAACCTTGCTCGGCTGGTCGCGAGAGAAGGCTGTGATGATGCCATCCAGAACGCCCGCCCGCCTGAGCGCCTCCCACTCCCCTCGGTACAGGAAGTCCCCAGCCTCGTTCCGGCAGCCGAACAGCAGCCAACTCGGCGCAACCGGGAGTGATTTTGAATCGCGTTCTTTGAGGCTTGTCGATTCAATCGCCGCTTCCTTGGGGCCCGCAGATTCAATCGCTTGTTCCTTGGGGCCCGTCGATTCAGGTGACGGTCCCCTGGGCCCCGTCGGCCGGGAATGGTGATCTGCTCTCCCACGGGCACGCTCCATGCGCTCCTGCAGGAAGGACCGGAACGGCGCCACGCCCGTTCCTGGCCCGATCAGCACCATCGGCGTCCCGTCGTTCGGCGGCATCCGCATGGCCCCCGCCTCGATCCACACCGGCACCCGGTCGTCGCGTCTCCCCGGCTCCATGGCCGCCAGCGCCGCCGTGCACAGGCCGCGCTTGGTCCGCCCGAAGGGCGTCCTCCACTCCACGATCGCGGCGGTGATGTGGGCCGCCCGCGGGTGGGCGGTGGGCGAGGAGGAGATCGAGAACTGACGGGGGCGCTTAGCGGGCACGCACTGCAGCAGCCACTCCAATGGCGGCGACGAGGACTTAAAATCGCCTAGTACTTCCAGTACAGTGCGGCCTTCGCCGGAGCAGTACAAATGTAGATCGTCGCGGCCCTCCGCGGACGCGAAGTAGGCCAGCCGGTCAGCCTCGTGCTGGGCGGCCGTGAAGCGGCGCAGCACGTCGAAGAAGTACCGTCTGGGGGAGGCGCCGTGCACATCCAGGGCCCCCTGGACCAGCGCACGGATCCTAACCTGGGCCTGCGGGCCCCCCGGCGCCTCCGCTTGGGCCCCGACGCCCGCGGGCCGGACGGACACCCAGCGATCGCCGTCCAGGCCGGCGCGTTCCAGGAAGGCGTCCACCGCGGAGGAGGGCGTCTCGGGGAGGATGACCAACAGATCGCCGGGTGAGTAGGTAAGGGAAGAGTCCCCCAGGTCGAACTCGATGTGCCGGACGTCCTGGAAGTGGCTGGGGGACGTCAGGCGCTCGTTCTTCAGCATCCTGGCCATGTACGGCCGGCCGGGGCCGAACGCGTGGGGCCCGGCGGCGGCGAGTCTCGGGTCGTCGGCGGGAGCGGGCAGACCGGCGGCGGCGTCGGCCACTCTGTGGAACGCGGCCGCCGCCCCGGCGGCTTCTTCCATGGCCGTCATACCTGCCAGAAAGGGAGATGAAGTGCGTGTGAACCCTTTGGTTGCAAGATGGCAATGAAGTTGATGAGGCGGATGAGCCAACAGCAGCGTGAAAGGAATGCATTATTTCGCTCTGGTCCTATAGCTATTCTTTCTTGTCGAAAAGCACCGCGGCAATCATGTGCTTGGTTTTGATGACACCGACAATGACCCCGCGTCCCTGACAATGGCAATGAACATGTGCCGGGCAACCAGTCAGCAAAGCTTGAAACCAAACACACACTGACCTCCTGCAGATTTTTACCCGATGCAAGGGTTCCACATTTTGGCAATGTCAATCGAGCAGGGTGTTGCTGCTAAAATTCTGGCGGGGTCACTGCATGTTTGCAAACAGAATCACAACCTCCCTGGTGTCATGACACTCAGTTGTCTGTATTACTGCATTGAACAACAGAAACCGCGATTGCCCACAGCGAAGCCAGGGCTGAAGACAAGTGGAACCCGAATCTCTTCTGCTACAACATGCGCTGAATGCCATCGGATTTGTCACATTTGATGCATGCCCTCCACCCCTACCCCCAAACCCACCTCACCCACCCGCTCAGTGCACAATATTGGTACTGCGAATGGGAGCAGATTCTCACCCGCCTGTGAGCGTCTCGGCCCCTCTTCCAGAAACGTGACACTGAACTTGGGCATGTCCAGGGAGCCTACCACACCCTCCATGGCTTGCACCCCGAACCTCACCTCCACAGCCCTCCAGAAAGCTTCTAGCCATGGGTCAAGCGCCGCCTCGTACCCCGCCCTCGCCTGGTCGTCCCCAAGCCCCTTCTCCACCAATGGCTCTGCACCCAGTCCTGCCAGCCTATTTGCAACCACAAATTGTCAATCGATCAATCACCAAAAACCAAGAACAAATAGAGATCAGGAGGCCGCCAGCTGCCTGTGATCTGCCCAGGAAAAGCGCTCAACGAAGGAAACTGTGTACCAACCTTCATCGATCAATCAACAGTGAATCAGTCATTCAGTAAGATTTAGTCAGCATAAGCAGTTAAGGTAATACAGCCCCGATACAAAGTTTGTTTTCTTTTCACAGCAAAGGCAAACCCACGCGTCACAGACCGCTCAAGTCAGCAGGCATACGACCAGCCCTGCAGTTACCTCTAATAAGGCTTTTCAATCTCCACAAGACCACGGTAAATCAAACATTCAATAGACAAGAAGTAGGAATCCAGAGAACAACCAATTCCCTGTGAGTTCACCAGCAGAAGCACCCATTTAAGAAGTCGCAGGATTGTCCCAGAGTCGTAAACACGGCTGCTGAGACAAAAGGGTTCTAGACTGCAGACACACACATCCTGCACCAATCGGTCCTTCATCACACCAGATCACAACAAGAAATCCGCTCCCCGTGCCCCTCCCCAAACCCCGGATGCCCCCCAACCACAAGATCGCCATGCACCTGTTCGCCAGCCTCTTGGCCACGGCGTTGTACTTGAGGTACCCCGAGTCCCCCAGGCCGAATGCCGCTACGGCCACCCCCGCCAGCGAATCCGCGGGCAGGCTCTTCCGCAGCAGAAACTTCCAGAAAGCGGTCATGTTGTCCGGCGGCACGCCCTGGCCCGCCGTGGCCGCCACGAAGGCCACCAGGCGCTCGCCGGGCAGGCCGGCCACGGGGTAGGCGTCCATGGGCATGACGCGCGGGACCAGCCCCCGGCATCGGGCCTCCCGGCCCAGGCGCTCCGCCACGTCCTGGGCGTTGCCCGTCTGGGAGCCGTAAAGGACGAGCAGCGGCGGCGGCGGCATGGCGGCCGACGACGTGCCAATGGGGAGGCTGCGTTTGGGCGCTTTGGCGGTTGCCGCCACGGTTCTGCCGCCGCAGGGAAATTGGGGTAACCCCATATTTTCCGTATTTACGGTATTGTCTCCGACACCCTTTTGGAAACGGGTGTGGGGTCCAATACGGTGTGGCACCTGTTCTCAGGGTTGTGACCTGATTCGTCGGGTTCCGCCCAGTGGTTAGTTGTTTGTGTGGCCGGGTTGCTGCGCCCGGGTGCGCCGCCCTGGAGGCTGTCAGCAAAATTTTACAGTGTATCGACACGCTCCGCGTGATTGTGACCCCTGCACTCCAGTGGCTTTGCTGGTGCTGGGGAAATTCTGTACTGCACAGCTTGGCGTAAACATGTGGGACTTTCTGTTCCAGCTTTTGCAAGAAGCGCTTTGATCATAAAGTGCTGGCCATTGATCGCTACGACTGCATGTGTGCAAGCGTAAATGGGCAATGAAACGGGCATCTGTACTTTGTATTTGAAGCAAACTGGAACCGGCGGGTATTGACCCTGTCATTCCTGGATGCCAGTTTGCGTGCCAACGCATTCATCAGTCTCATCTGCTACTGGCAGTGCACAGCACAGTTGTCCACAAAGTGAAGAGTGGGCATGGCAAGAGGAAGTGAATCTGAATTTCCTCTCAAAATTTGTCTCCAAAGCAAGTCAATTAATGGATTTCAACGCCGTCCAACAAACTTCAAAATCGTCAGGTATCCTTGACTGAAAGTGCAGTCTGTCACCAGATTGTGGATGCTGAAAATCGAGCGAAACGGCATGGAGCGCAGGACGATTCAAATTAGTGATCAATTCCTGGACGAATGCTTCTGAGTCTCGTCGGCCATCATTGGCGACTCTACAGATGACTCCTTTTCCCGTGCCACCATACGCTTCGTCGCCAAAAACTGGGCTGTCCAAAAACTGGGAGTGCGCCCTGATTTGATGTGTCCGACCCGTTTCTAGCTTCCAAGCAATTAGGGCAGCCCCCCCTCCAGGCAGCCTCTCCAGCACCTTAAATCTGCTAACCGCTGGACGGCCGTGCTGGGATTGGTACCCATAGCACGCCATCTTCTTCCTGTCCTTGGCATCACGCCCAATGTTCGTCCTCACCACCCCAAAATCGTCCTGTGGACACCCAACAACAATGGCCACATACTTTCGACCCGTGCTCTTCTCCTGGAACTGCGCCCCCAGTGAAGCGCAAGCCATCTCCGTTTTAGCAACAACCAACAAACCCGTGGTGTTCTTGTCCAAGCGATGCACAATTCCGGGCCTGAAGTCGGCACCACCCCCCTGGCCATCCCATTCCCCTTCGCCGATTTCCTGCTCGTCCTCCAGTCCGTCCAAAGACCTGGGCATGGCGGTCCTGCCCCTCAGATCGAACGTGGCCAGGTTGCAGTGGTGCAGCACCCCATTCACCAATGTTCCCGACCAATGCCCCGGAGACGGATGCACCACCATCCCCGCAGCCTTGTCCACAACCAGCACGTGCTCATCTTCGTGCACGATCTTCAAGCCCAGAGACTCTGGCCGCGCTTCCAGCGGACCCGGGGCCACCAGGCTGCACGATATGGCGTCCCCTGGCCTGACGTTATATGAAGGCTTGGCTGGCTCCCCATTGACCAGCACCCCATGCCTCCTGACGCTCGCCTGTATCCGCGAGCGCGTGGCGTTGGGCACCCGTTCGCACAGATAGGCATCTAGCCGTTGTCGACTCTGTGGTTCCGCGTGCTCGACGACGAAGTCGAAGGTATGGGAACTACCCTCCTGGATAGCGGATGGCGCGCGACTGCTCTTGTCGCTGCGGCCTCGCGCGTGTCGCGGCTGCTGCCCGGGCGCCCCTCCCGCCAGGAGCGCGAGAGGAGAGCCGGAGGCCGCGGTCCTGCTCAGGAACCTGTGTTTCATGAGCGGCTTTTGCAGCGGGGCGAGCAAGCCAAGGTGGTTGGCAGTGGGCATACAATTACAGTAGGGGTCGCTATATAGCGGCCCCCCCCCCGTGACATGGCCACAAGGGGGGCGCTATTGGGGGCCGGGGGCGCTATTAGGGGGGCGCTATATAGGGACCCCTACTGTACTCGCTTCACCAAATCTGTGACTGCTTGCACCAGAACCCGTTAAAGCTAGCTAAACCCTAAACCTTAACCCTAAAACTGAGGTGAGGACCTAGTATACACGTGATTTGGTGCCAGCAGTCACCGATTTGGTGCAGGCTGTGATATTATTTCTTGGCGGTGTGGCTCCAGTTTCGTGGTAAAGCAGCAGCTGTTCTGAGGGCCCAATGGGAGTTGTTAGCATCGGTATTGCTTGCACAAAGAGCTGTCAGAGTTGAGTGGCAGTGCTATCTATGATGGTATTTGTGACGTGTGGTGAATAGCACCGATGGTGTAATAGCACCGACCATTAAATATGCTCTAAAATATCTGGACCAGGGTTATTTTTTTGGTCGAATTGACACTTTTTGTCCGAATTAGTTTTCAAATGACCTGCTCGAAACGCCAGAAGGGACCCTAATTCCTACAATTTGTCTGGCAGAAAGCGCTACAAAGTGGCCTAATTCGGATATTGTCCAGAAAGAAAACCGGAAACTGGCCCCATTTCGGACACGCGGTAGTCGATGAATTTGGCTTGGTACTTAAGTTCTTGAACAATTCTAAGCGGCGCAGCTCTCCATGGCAGGTGCCAATCGCCACAATTCTGTAAGGCCCACTCATTGTTTTGATGATGGCAGTGCACAGTTCGCTGTAGTATACGATGCGGTTGGCAGGTTGATACCTTGCCGCCTTGCAGCGTTGCTGCGCCGTGCACTTTGCGGTAATCTCTGGGGTATCGAGCTCTGTGTGTTCCTTGTTTTCCATCAGATTGGATGGAGGTTGAGCGCTGCAAGTTATTTTATGTCCGTCAAGGCTTCTGCTCCATGCGATTGGTAGGTTTGGCAGTGTTTGAGGGCAGAATTCTCCTATTTGGGCAAATTGATGAGCGAGCGTGCCCATTCAGCTCTCTTTTATTTTGTTGTGTTCCATCCGATCAGATGGATGTTAAGCATTGCAGTTGATTGGTGTCCAGCAAAATTTCTATTCCATTTAGTTGGCAATTTCGACAGCGTTGTGGCACGCCAAGCTGGTTATTTTGTGAGCCTCTCGTGAGCAGCTGCCTGCGCTGATGCAATCGCTCCCAAAGTGGTGAAGATCGTTCACTTCACCTTGCCGAGGCCACCAAATCCGCGATCGTCTCGAATAATTATATTCGCGCAATATCGCCCCCACGCTGTCAGCCAAAAGGCCGTCATCGTCCGCCATAGTTGCCGCGTTCGGCAGGTTTTGCCCCAGGGCACCTCAATTCAGACAAAGTGTCCGGCAATTTTGAGAAATCCACCTCATTTCAGACAATGTCCGGCGAGGTTGCACGAAGAAAGCAAAACCTGGTCTGCACCCGTGTCAAAAATTTTAGACGTATTTAGATACGGCACAACAACAATGCTCCGAACGGGGTGCAGAGAGCAGACACGAGGGTTGACTCATAATTCCACCCTTTAAATCACCATGAACGTCATGTTACCAAAATCCACTGACACCTCGTGAGCTCCCATGTATTCTAATATGGCATTTCACCCTCATGAGTTGTGTCCGCAATGCCCAGTGAACGTGAGGTGGTAGAACAACACAACGGATAGGATGGACAGGACGCCTGACCCGCTCCTGTGACAGGGAGAGGACCAAAACACAGCACCGTGCTTCCAGTACATGTATACAGTATACAAGTCCGCGGTTTTGGGAAACACGGAAAAAGGCTGTGTCTGGCAGCTGTGGTGAGATTTGTCTCTGGTACGGACATGCAAGGGAACAAAATTTGTGATTCCAGAAGCCCAAATATCATTCCAATGCACCGATTCTGGATTTACCAATGATGAGAACCTTTTCATGAAGAGGACATTTAGGATTCATCAATGGAAGACGGCAGCTTTAGGGAAAATGTTCCATCCAATGGACGCTGGAGTTGGTTGCCAAGCGGAACGCATTACAGGCTCCTGGGATTGCATCATTTGTCGCACACACCAGATCAGAGCCACCGCAGCATGCCTAACGAAATTTATGATTTTTAAATGGCCCAGCGCTGCAGAACTGGACCCCTTACGGCGGAGCATACAGCCCCGCTGTTTCTGGGGCATCAAACCTGAAATCACTCGACGGGGAGAAGCCATTTAGATATTTCACAGTAATGCCCGCCGAGCAGCTACTCGTGCAGAGAGGTGGCAGCTGTCGCGGTTGTGAGAACTTGATATGGTTCCACAGTTTGACGATCAACTCCAGAGTTCAATAGATCTATTGAACTGGTGACAACACTGTCACAATGCGAACCGCTGAACACCTCTCACTGCGCACTCTAGACCAATCGCCATCACATCACCGAGGGCTGGGCAAACCCATAAGCTAGCAAACTGAGGCCATTCGATGCGTCCCTCAATTTAAGCACCAAGGCGTTGTATCCTTAACATTTGCCAATTAGCAGCTAACAGACCGGTTCCTTGACCCCTCATTTTGCTTGCCAGCAACACCTAGATTGGAGGTTACCTTGGGCAGTCTGCCCATCAAAAGCAGTCAGAAAAATGCCCCAGTTCTATCAATGTCCGGCAGAAATAACGCAAACTTGCCCAAAGCCTGACACATGAAAATTTCGGTCCTCAGCCCCTCTCAAAGTCAATCCATCACGATTTGAGAAATTGTTCGTTTCCATGTTGCGCGGTGCGACATGTGGCCTGCCGTGCAGGTAACCACAACTGGTAAAACCCGCAGAGCACAGTGCAGGACGGTTTGCGTAGTCTATCACAAGCTCTTGGTACGCCCTTGCACTGTACAGGATGTGGAAGCGATACTGAATCTGCTTTGAGTTGTGCAGCACTGCAGGCATCGTGCATGCTTCTAATATACTGCAGATGACGAGCACAACCTTTTACGGCTGTGTTTTAAAGGTTTGGCTATTAATAAAAAGTTCAAGGAGCAGCATATTTGATAGAACTGTATCACTTGCATTTACGAGCCATTGTGCTTAATAAATCTTCGCTCATTCTGATAGATTCATATGTGGAACATATACAAGCCAAATTGGCCTGAATTCGAACAGAATGTCCCATGAAATTTGCAAAATACAGGTTCAACTGGACAATTCTGGAGACACTCATCGATGTGAAGAACTGGCTGAATGCACAGGGAATTTGCTGCTGTGCTTTTGGGTAAGGCATGCAACAGTGCCCACCCACGTCCTGTTTGCATGTCGCCATCCTGCAAGTGGGCTGCAGTACGTGCGACCTTCGCGCTGGGCCGCCCGCGGAAAGTAGCAATGCAGGCGGGCAGCGCGGGAGCAATCGACCTGCCAAAGGTCCTCGTGGCCGCCCGAAGCCCCGAGCGCCTGGCAAGTTTCAGGGACGCCACGTCAGAGGTACCCAATTCCGTATCCTGGGGGAGCGGCAGCTCGTTCGATGCTTGCAAAGACAAGGGAGCATTAAGCACGGCGCAAAGCGCAGGTTCTAAGATTCTGTCATGCGATGAAGCCCCCGTGCTTTCGCCACGCATTTTAGTGAAAAATCGAGGGCAATGGCCTCGGTTGAGATTGCCATATTGCTGCTGTTGGCCCATGGCTTGCTTCAGATTCTTGCACAGTGGTGGCGGTGCCAGAAATTGTCAAGAGAACGTGTGTCTTGTAGTGGCCACCCATGTCACATCCCAGACAAGATTTTAGCAGTTCTGCAGTGAACTGGAATTCCTGGCAACTCTGATCGTGCAAGTGTGAGGATATGATGACAGCCTACATCAAAGGTATTGCAGGACTGTAGCGCCCTCTGAGCAGCAACGATTCTGTAGTTGCCTGCTCCAGCTTCTTGACCAATTTTATTTGGAACACTGACATCTTTTTGCTGCTAGCCTGATAGTCAAAGTTCTTGCAGAGAGAGGACTTGCAATAAACGTTCACCAGTGTGCAGTGTTGGAATCTTGAGGTTCTGTTGCACACTGTGAGTACCGAATTTGAGGTAGTGAATTGCAGCGGAAACAGCACATAAGTGTCCAGATGCTGTCAAGTGAAGAAACTGTCTGGTGGTTCTAGAAATGGTGCCTGATGTCTGTCCTGTGTCTGTTCACAATTGGCAGCAGTCAATTGGTGGGGCAGATTTGATATTTCTGGACGATGAAGCATCTCTTGTGGAGAAGACCACCTTTGATCCCGAAAGCTATTTTTCCCACCTCAAGACCAAGGATCTGGGGAGTGTGGCCCTGTGTGCGGAATCCTTGCCATCCACCCAAGATTTTGCAAGGGCCAATGCTAAAGGGTTGCCCGACGGCACAGTGATCGTGGCAGACAGACAAACGGCAGGGAGAGGTGCGAAGAGAACTTGTCTGCCTTGTTGCTCAGTGCTTCCACCACAGCGGGTAGAATGCCAACGACCCACTGCCTTTTTGCAAGGGATGTGATTGCGGATTGTTTGCTTTTCTTTCAGCAGATATCCTGTTGACTTCAGCACACAAGTGGTGCATGCTTCCTCTCACTGTCATTGCAGCTGCCCTGCTTCTGCTGATGGCACAGGTTGGCAATTCTTGTCTGCTTTGGCCTGCCATTGTGCCCTCACTGGAGATTCCCATCTACCTTGGCCTGCAGCTTTCGCCAACATGGGCAAATCTTTAATGAGTGTTGAAAGCGGAATTTTCGTCTACAATATTTGTTATTCCCAAGGGAAACAACAGGGGCAGCAACTGAAATGCTAGTTGGTATGTAATTTCTTTGATTTCAAATAAATGCTGTTTCTTGCTGCATTTTCCAACATTCATTAGGCAATACCCAGCACTCAAAACGTCAACATGTTCATCCTTTTTGTGTGCATTCAACTACTGAAGTAGAACCTGGTTTCCAGATGTGTTTGGGAGTCCTGCCAGCACCTGATCCCTGTTCTTGTGGTGCTCTGCTCCTCCAGTACCGCAGTCCTGTGCAGCACGATGTCGATTGCTATGTCTGCGGCAACCAACAACCCTGGGTACTCCCGTTATCCATATATCCACCATATTTGTGCTTCTGCAAATTTTTGCTGGTACTGCGGTGAACATGGCAACAGCTTGTGAGCTGGTTCACAACACAGCAGCAACCCCATTGCACAAGTCCCTCTGAATTCACCTGTTCACCACCAGGGAGCAATCCATTGCCAACCCTTTGCGTGCTCTACTAGTTTATTTTATTGCTTTGGGCATGCATTTCTGATTTCAATTCTGCCTTGCCAATGCATATTGAAGGTCGACAAAAGAACCAGTGGGAGTCTCCTGAGGGTTGCCTGATGTTCACTGTGACCAAAAGCTTGGAGCTGCAAGGGCCATTGGCAGTGTATCTGAACTATGTCATCTCCCTTGCAGTTCTGGAGGCAGTGCAGGACATATTTCAGGTCAGAATATCTGCCTCTGAATTTCGAACTTTGCACATGTGTCCAAACATGATAATACCCTGGATTTCTGCCTTTTTGGCGCTGCTGGGCATGGTCACAGCTGCAAGTGCATATTCCCAGTGTTGCATTGGTGTTTGTGTTGCTCTGCAGCTGCAATGGTCAACGATATGCAGGGAGTTCCAGGTGCTGATGGTGACGACCATTGTGGTGTTTGAAATTCTGAGCACAGCATGGACAGGACTGGATTACACATCGACAATGCAGGGGCTGTCTGCACCGGATGCGTGTTCATGCAATATAGATACATTTAGAAAGAGCAGCTGTCACACAAGCCAAATCATTGTTTACACACTACCCCCCCCCCCTCCACCCCATGCCCTTCTTCACAACAAGAGCAGCAGCAACAAAGAGATGCGGGTCTTTTGCCACCTCATTGATCATATGAAAATTTGTGAACGGTTTCAAGTATGAGAGAGCAGCACTCATGTGGGCTTAGCACAACAGAAATTGCAGCAAACTGTGCTGAATTATTCTAGTTATCTGATAGGAGAGTAATTCTCAGTGTCGCTGTGAGAGATGTGCGCCATCATTTGGAGCATTAAAAATAGTCAGGCTACAATTCTTGGTCAGATGTGTATGGCAATCGCTTGGCAATTTGATTCTGTATGAGGCAGTCCTCCGTTGGCAAGTCTTCCTGCTCCTGGGGCTCTGGGGGAGGCCTTTGTCAAGGGTGCTTGTGACATGGTGACCATAGCCAGTGTTGCATGCAGGGGAACGAGGCGCCCCTTCAGCTGAAATGGCCAAACGACTTGTACTCATCTGGCCTGAAGGTGGGGGGCGTCCTCATTCATTCCACATTTGGAGCAGGCAAGCTTTGCATGCAGGCAGGCGTGGGCCTTAACGTGCTCAACAGGCAACCAACAACTTGCCTGCAGGATCTTATGGAACACAGCGGCATTCCAGGGAGCATTTGCAGGGAAGTCGTCTTGGCTGGGATCCTAAACCACATGGAAACGATGCTGCAGGTACCAGCTGATTTTCAATGATGTGTGATCCATCTTTGGGGCATGTTAGTCTTGCTTGGGGCCTTCTATGGCATTGTATTTTATTTTGCAGTGTGAGCGTCCTCAACTGCTGAATGTGATTCCTGCAGCTTTCTCCAGGCAGCTTTCTCGTGTGGTTCCAAATTCCTGTTGTATATTCACTCCATAACATGTTATGCAGTATCTTTGAAATAACAGGCTGCCAAACTCCGTGATGTATCCCCTTTGGGCTCATCAACGTTTTAGGTCTCTTGAGTCCTGCCAGTTTGGAGAGAAACCCACATTTGTTTTGTGGAAAACAGCCATTGTGGCACTTGGCTGCAAAGGAAATTCGGAAAGCAGCTGGTTAGCAATGAGGGACAACTGGTTCTGGTGTTGAACTGAACCAGTAGTGCCACAGTGTCAATTCATGGGATTGCCAAGGGCTGCACCAGTGATGGATGCTTGTTTCAGCATTAGAATGCCGATGCCATGGTTCGATGAATTTGGCACATGCATATTCACACACTTGGTTTGTTGCAGACACTCCAGCAAGAAGGTTTTGAGCCACTAGAGAGCAAATATATCCACAGCTGGCTGCACAGCGAACAGGAGGTCGATATAGAAGAGAAGGGGGAAGATGGCTCACAAAGCATCGTGTCAGTGACCATCAAGGGATTGTCTCCAAATGGCTTTCTTCTGGCAGTTGACAGTGATGGGAGGAGATTCGAACTCCAACCAGATGGGAACAGCTTTGATATGATGAAGGGCCTGATCCGCAGAAAGCTGTGAGTGAGGCTGAGCAGAGGTCTATTGTATGCACTGCCACCACTGTGGTTTCTCTTGGACAGAGAATTGTGGAATGCATGGAACAAGAACAATTATCTGGTTGTGGCGGCATTCAACACATAGTCAGATTGATTGGGCACGTTTTGTAATATTTGAGAAATATGTTTAACAAAGCTTTACCTGATCAGCCATTAATGCATTGATTAACTGTATGGATGTGGTGCTGTGCATTGGCACATGTGCATCTGCAATTGTCTGCACCCTTCTCTACTCTTTCAATGATGCAGGTAATTGCTGCGTGCTTCCATATGTATGTTTGGTTGGTGCAGAGGGTTCTGGTTGGTCATTACTGCTAACCAGGTCGTAATGTGGACTGCAATGTTTGATGTCCTAAACTGAGTTTAGGTGTTTCAGAATACAAGGTGTTCTAGAGTGTTTAGGACCTGCTGGGCACAGTGCATGGTGACAGGACTAGAAACAGGGCTCGGGGGATCCAAATCCTGTTTACAGGTGCCAGCTAGAAAGGTTTTCAAGGAACTCTGGAGTGGGGTGAATGCCACCACAGTCACCAAAGGTGTGCAAGACAAATGCAAAGGTGACTGCAGACAGTTAAGTGGCCATGGAGCTGCAGAGTACGTTATATCCCCTGCTGGTATCCATGCAGTTTGTTGCACAGCATGCCCCTGCTGTCCTATCATTATCACCCAGCTTTGGCAAAGAAGCCGACGCTCCCATGTAGCAGGTACAATCCTTGGAACAATCGTGGTCTTATCGCATTGCGGACACGCATGCTGTTTGGGATGCGCGGAAGGAGCGAGCTGTGCCGCGATCTGTGGGCTTAGTGCACGGTGATCTCCGAGCACAACGAATCAGAAGCAGCAGTGCACGCTGAGAGCCAGCAGTGGAACCAAAGAGAAACCCCTATATTACAAAGCACAGCCACGTGTCGTGTCTCCACCGCCTGCACCGTTCGAAAGCCACGACCGCCGGTGGGCCCGCTCCCCTGGCGCCTGCCGTCCGTTTATCCCCGGCCGCGGTGTTTATGGAACACCGGAACATGTTTCGAACCGCCACCGCCAGCAACCCAACAAGAAGAAAAACACCATCCCCTCCGCGGCGCAGAGCCCCGGGCTGCCCGCCCTAGCCTCCGAAGCCGTAGAGCGTCCTGCCCTGCCTCTTGAGCGCGTACACCACGTCCATCGCGGTCACGGTCTTCCGCCGGGCGTGCTCCGTGTAGGTCACGGCATCACGGATCACGTTCTCCAGGAAGACCTTGAGCACACCGCGCGTCTCTTCGTAGATCAGGCCGCTGATGCGCTTCACGCCACCGCGCCGCGCCAGCCTCCGGATCGCGGGCTTCGTGATGCCCTGAATGTTGTCGCGCAGCACCTTGCGGTGACGCTTGGCGCCGCCCTTGCCCAGGCCCTTGCCGCCCTTGCCGCGTCCTGACATGGTGTCTCTTGCGCGGGTGTGGCCGAGCGGAGCGGGTGGGTTCAGCGGGGGAGCGGCGAGGTGGGTGGTCGGGGAGAGTAACGGAGTGGGGGAAGGAAAGGGGCGGAGGTGGTTAAATAGGGCGGAGGGGGGGCAGTGAAGCGCGGGGCGGGGTGGTTTCTGGCGCGGGGGCGGGCCCCAGTGGCGGCTCACATTCCGCCCGTTTTCGAAATTCGAAATTGGGAAAACATCTTGCCCTGTGCAGGGGAGTGGATTCGAAATGAGTGAGCGGGGCCAGGCACCGACGGGAGGAGGGGCTGCGGTTCGGCTGCTTGCTGGGGGACTGTCTGTCGTTGGTGATGCCGTTGGCACCTTGCACACTTTGGTGGAGCGTTGCAACGAATGTGTTGGCGCCTGAAATATGGGGTTCGCGGAATTGTCGCATTTTCTTCGGTGTTGCATGGGCCAACGTAGTGCCTCCACGTAAAATTTCCACCAAAAATGGGTGCTGAGGGACCGGGCACCGAATACAAAGCCGAGCGTTGTATTAGAGCCCATCACAGGCCCAATCTCCTCGAGCGAAGGCGAACATAAGAAAGTAGGAAAGGTTGCGTGTGTAGATGCTTGCAAATACAAAATTTCCATTGAACAAACATTGCTCAGGTGCACAAAATAACTGTGCAACGGCATTCGGCACAATTGGAACCTGGGGGCAACTTTCTTCATTGGTGCGCGGGAGCTGCACCACGATTTGTGCGATTCTTCTGCGGTCGGTGCTAATCACCTGAATCGCATCCCGGCTCCAACTTGGTTCTCCACTTTTGCCCTCGCCATTTCAAATGTCGCTTTTTCGCATTTTGAACGCCAATTCCTGTTCCCCTGATTCCCGCCAGTTTCTGGCGGGCACCCCCGCCCGCCCCCTGCCCTACAAAAGCCCCCAGCCCCATCCCCGCAGTCCCATAGCCCCCGCAGCACACGCGCGAGCGACCCTCCCTAAGCCCCGCCGATCGCCCCTCCCCCGCCTGCCAGAGACGCAGCCCATCGTCGCCATGGCCCGCACCAAGCAGACCGCCCGCAAGTCCACCGGCGGCAAGGCCCCGCGCAAGCAGCTCGCCACCAAGGCCGCCCGCAAGAGCGCGCCTGCCACGGGCGGAGTGAAGAAGCCGCATCGCTACAGGCCGGGAACCGTTGCCCTGAGGGAGATCCGCAAGTACCAGAAGAGCACGGAGCTGCTGATCCGCAAGCTGCCCTTCCAGCGGCTGGTGCGCGAGATCGCGCAGGACTTCAAGACGGACCTGAGGTTCCAGAGCAGCGCTGTGCTGGCGCTGCAGGAGGCGGCGGAGGCGTACCTGGTGGGCCTGTTCGAGGACACCAACCTGTGCGCCATCCACGCCAAGCGCGTCACCATCATGCCCAAGGACATCCAATTGGCGAGGAGGATCCGTGGGGAGAGGGCCTGAGTGCCGGTTCGATTTCGAGTTTTCGAATTTGGGCGCGGCCCCTGCCGCTGGAGGTGCGCGGGGGGGCCCCCGGTCCCTCACCCGGTGTTTTTGTGCTCAACACCGCTTCGGGGTGGCGAGTTTTGAGGGGGGCTCCTCTCGGGCTCGCGCTGGACGCGACGAGGATCTGCGGCTGGGGCAGGGGTAGTAGTTGTACTATTACGGACCCGGATTGGTGAGGCTGGGCGTTGTCGATCGGCGCGGCGGAGTGACCTGGAGGTCTGAGGCCGAGCCATGCGGGGGAAACGCCGGCCCGGCGCGGGGTGTCCAACAGCAAAGAGGTGTAAATTGTGACAGGAGTAGCGTTCTCATGCAAACCCTGGCCTTCGTGTCCTCCTTGGCCCCTCTTATGTTCCTGTCTTTGCTGTGTGGTGGCCCGGTGGACTGCGACTGCCCCGGAGCCTGCCGGCCGAGGGGAAAGGACGGCTGATGCCCCGTCTCCCGGCTGTGCGATTACCCCTAGTCGCTGAGAACATTATCGTGAGGGGGCGTTTCCCTTACCCCACGTCCAAGATAAACTTTACACGGCACTGCAGATCGCTGGCGCCTCTTGCCTGGCCTTCCAAGGCATTCAAGACGCGGTCGACGAACGCATGCAGCTGTCGCGCCAACCGAGACAGCTCCGCACCCCGCCACCGAGTTTGGAGCCGGCGGCGGCCTTGCCAGGGCCAAGCCGTAGTGTGCAATGCGCACCTGCCATGATGCCATCCCTGCACCCTTGGATGATGAGGGGTAGCTCAACTCAGTGTAGTCGGTAGTCGTGAAGTCGAAAATTACTCAACCTGTCTCATTTGCTTGTATCGTTGCCCAAAATTCATGGTGCTGTGAACCGTGGGGATATTTAGGGTTGCGCGATGGGCTTGTTGAGAAGGCGGGCGTCCCTCGCGCCCATCGCCATGGACACACATGAACAACGTGGACCATCATAGTGCTTCGGAGCTTGTTTCCTGAGTGACCCCGCATCCTGCTGCTCCCAGGACAACTCGCGGCTCTCTGCGGCTCCAAGGCACCGCTCTCAGGCTTAAAGGCACAAACCCACCTTCCCCCTTCTGCGGAAGTTCTCCGTTTCGCGCGGCGCTCCACGGGCCAATCTATCAGCTTCTTGGGGATCAGGGCGCCTGTCCAGCCGCACGGCCGGCGCATCTGCCAATCAACCTACCGCCCGGGAGGGCGTCCGTGTGGTACGGATATTCGCACGATGGGGTGGGATGGGCTGCCGGGAAGAGGCCCTTGCGTGCCCTGAGCCTGTCGGGAAAACATGGCGCTGACGCCCCGAATTGTCGACGAATGCACCTCGAGCCACGCCCGGAGGGGCCGTCGCCGTGACGGATGGGCCCCGTGGCTGCGGTGTGGGACCCGGAGTCCGCTCCCGAATGGCGATTAGAGGTCTTGTCTCTGCGGTTTGCCGCCGTGCCAACACTCGCGGCGCAGCCCAGCATCAGGAAGTGGCCGTCACCGTCCGCCCGAGCCGGATGGCATCCGCATGCCGACTCTCTGGTCACATATCCGTGCGTGCACCCACCCGGGGCGTCTCCCCCTTCGCCCTCCGACCAAGGCGCTGGCTGATTGTGATCGTCCCCTGCTTTATCCGGAACAGCCCCGCGGCGATGGAGCCCGGGTCCCGCGCAGCGCAGCCATCACAGCACGACCATATTTGGCCGTCGATGCTTCCATGTGGTTCTCGTCGCAGTTGCAGACCCCGAAGTCGAACTGCAGCCTGGCACAGAGTCCCGACGCGTTTCATAGAACGGGGTTCGCATTGCGCCGTCACCCCCTGGTAGTCAAAGTCCCACTATTTGCGGGGCTCCGTCGTCTAAAGCCCATGCCCCCATCAAGTCACCTCGCTGCCGCAGAGGGCTCGCGTGACGGAAAGTAGCTTCTGTTTTTAGACTGGACCCCGCCTTTTGCCGCCCCTCAGGGATAGGGCCGGTCGCCATGTGCCGCCTCCTGGCCTACGTGGGGGACCCCATCCTCCTGGCGCACCTGGTGCTGTGGCCGGACAGGTCCATCATCAAGCAGTCGTACGACGCGCAGGAGCGCAAGATGAACCCCTCCCTGCCCTCGCACCTGTGCCACGGCAACCTCAACGGCGACGGCTTCGGAATCGGGTGGTACTCCCAGGAGGGCAGCGACACCTCGCCGTGTGTCTTCACCAGCGTCACACCAGCGTGGTGAGTTGTTTCCTTCAGGCTGCTTTGGAGAATGTTTGGAAACGGCTGTGGGGAGGAGCTGTGGGCAGATGGGGAGCAGATGCCTGCCAGCATCTTCCATCGTGCACACCCATTGTTTGCCTTGTGAGGAGGATTCGTTGGTGCAATAATAAGAGACACGTGTCAGATGATGTGCACCCCTATCCAGGGACTGTGCATCTTTTTTCACAGTGTGGAAGGTGTTTCGCCTTTCGTTGCTCAGATGGTATGAGGAAACGCACAACACATCATGCATCTTTGTCTTGTGAGGCAACTTCAGTCGAGAAGGTCATAGGTGGCAAGCGCGAAGGCCACAGGGCAAGTACTCCTTGCCCACTGCTGATCTATCTGCCAGGGCAGCGATCTCAATGTTGAGAGGGTCTGGGCCATTCGCTGAAAGACGCTCATGTATGCGCTACAACCCTTTTCCTTTGTTTTCTTGCATTGCCCTGCATTTCAAGTGTAGAATGCTGGAATCAGGTGGCAGGTTTGGAGACTTTGGACGCAACAGAAGATTTGCAAGCTTGACTTCTGGTGTTGTTATCCCGTGCAGTCATGAAAACAGGCAACAACAGGTCCTATAGAGTCTCTGTGCTTTAGTGGGCCTTTTGGGTGGTTGGGGGAGGTGATGCACATGCAATGGCAGACGTCATCACCTGTGAAAATCAGACATCGGACATGTTAATGGCGTAACACTTCTCAATGACCTTGTGGAGCCATTTGATGGGGGTGGGAGGGGTCTGTTTCCTACTTCTATTTTCCAAAATAGTGCATCACACTCCAGGGACTGGGTGCAATTGATAGATTCGGAGGAGGGTTTTGACTGTCTGGTGGGTACTTGGCACGAACAGGAACAATGACAACCTAGCACGGCTCTCCCGCAAGATCACATCGCAACTTATATTCGCCCATGTGCGCGCTGCCTACCCAGGCATGCCTGTGAGCGAGCAGAACTGCCACCCCTTCATGTGGGGCAGGTACATGTGGATGCACAATGGAGTGGTGGGAGGATTCTCAAAGGTATGCCCTATTGTGTTGATCGGTGGGTATTGTTGTTGTGAATTGGATCCCTGTTATACAAGTACCAATACAGAAATGGAATGAAATGCGTGATTGTGTAGCTGTTGAATTGTATAGAAGTAGACAAAATAGAATTATGAAAGTGCATGTGCAGTTTCAGCATGTGACAGTGCTGAGAAACGTGCAGCCGGCATCAATTCCCACTGGCTTTGGTGTCCTGTATCATCTTTTCCTGCTGTGGACACCATTGAAGTGCTGTACCCACAGCCAAACTGTCTCATCTGCTGCACCATGCAGCTGACAAATCATTATCTGCTCAGGGAAACAATCAAGGGGAGAACAAAAGCAGTCCAGCTGGTATCAGTGCTGCTGTTATCACTGCACTGCTGGCTTCTGACAACTGTGTTCTCAGCCTTGCCAGCCAATTAAGGGTCATCGTTGCCACAGTCCTCACCAGGCTGACCTGAGGTAAATTCCTTTGCTTAACTTTGCCTTTGCCAGAAAAACCAGGGTCCTTTCACTTTGCAGGTGATAGCAGATGTATATACATCCGAAAACAGTGTTCTGTCTCTCGGCCATTCGTTTTGTCTGCACACCACCAGTCTGAAATACAGGCAATAACTGGTGAACAAACGAAAAAATGTTGAAATCCAAGGTACACTCAAGTGACATGACAGGAAAGCTTCATTCCAGCCAGTGAAAAATGATGCGCACCACTGAGTCCTTCATCACTTCCTAACTTGACCCCACTCCGGCCCCTCCTCCCCCCTCTTGGGCAGCCCCTGCCCGTGTTTCTCTGAGAGCGGAAATGTCACCAGAGGCGCTCAAGGGCCAGGGTTGCTATCGGCCTTGGTAAAGTTGCACAAGTTCCACAGCATGCGGCTCGATGGGAGCCTTGGCTGGCCTCTTCAATTGTGGGCAATCAAGATGAGCATAAGTCTGTCTATTATTCAAATGACAACCTCACCTCAGTGCTGGCACAATACTCATTGATGGAGGAATCTCCAAAGGTGGACTTGCTGGTCAAAAACTGGCTGCCCACAGCCATTTGTTGGCAGCAAATCCTGTGCACAAGTACTGTGAATACTTGTGGCTTGGCTGTCTGTGTTCTTTAAGTCTGCAAGGTCTTATCACGCCACTGTATACCAGTCCTGTTCACCGCAAGGAATGTTGGCAATGTGGTGTCTGTTGTGCTACCAGAGGGGCTGCTTTGTGCAACGCTGTGAACTGACAAGACAACGTCGATGTCCAGATCAAGCGGCGGATTGTGGCGCTGCTGTCGGACGAAGCATACAATACAGTGGCTAGCTTCCACTCGGACTCCGCAGCCTCCTTTGCTCTGTTCCTGCATCACCTCCCCAGCATGACGGCACCTCAATCACCAGATGTGCTCCTGCAGGCCATGCAGGTGAGGGTGCCTCCAGTGGCTTTCTGCCAAAGGTCTGCTTGGCCCTGATTCACTACACAGGCACCAGAGCCCTTGATGGGCGATGGGGGCGCATTTGCTCTCCCAGTTCTCTAGTGTGCAGGTGTGGATGTCTCCTCCTCTCTTGATCAGTGGGACATCAACATGCGCAAACTCTAGAAGCTGAGCTGAAAGTGCTGCCACTATCTGACATCACATTTTGGATACAATGGTGTGAACATTCAATTGAATGCTTCACTTTAAGCTTCACTTTTTGCTTCATTTTAAGCTGGCATGGCACTATGGCCCACACCCCAACGTGATATGCATACGTCAAGGTAGGTAACATTGGTGGAAATGTGGTAGTTCCACCTTGTTGGAAGTTTTCTTCTTGTTGCTGCTCTCAGCATTCAAACAGTGTGGGAAGTACAGTAAATTTGAAACAAAATGCAGCAGACCAAACCCAGCACTGACGGAAGGGTGTGTTGCCAGAGGACCTTGGCATCCATCGCCTCTGTGCAGGAAGAGATGGAGGCGACCTCTGAGACGTCACTGCTGAATTTCGTCGTGTCAGACGGCAACACTGTGATCGCTACACGGTATGTGTCGCCAGACACGGAGGAGCCTGCATCACTGTACTTTGCCGAAGGTGGGCAACAGCCTGGCCACTGCAACATCCTAGTATTGATCTCTTTTTGTATCCCGTATTGTGTATTACTCTCTTTTTGCAATGTAACTATGTAAGCCTTGGATTGTG